TCACTTACTCGAACGGTCCTGACCGCGTAGCTCAGTTGGAAGAGCATTGGGCTAGTATTCCAAAGGTCGTAGGTTCGAATCCCACCGTGGCCGGGCATATTTTTCAAGCTCGCCCGGTGTGGATATGCACTCTGAGTAACATCACAAACATATTATTCACCTGAGTACACAACACCAGCACAGAAAAAAAATCATATTACAAGAACACATTGGTATTGAAGGAACTAGATACTGTTCCGAAATATCACTTACTCGAACCGTCCTGACCGCGTAGCTCAGTTGGAAGAGCATTGGGCTAGTATTCCAAAGGTCGTAGGTTCGAATCCCACCGTGGCCGGGCATATTTTTCAAGCTCGCCCGGTGTGGATATGCACTCAGAGTAACATCACAAACATATTATTCACCTGAGTACACAACACCAGCACAGAAAAAAATAATATTACAAGAACACATTGGTATTGAAGGAACTAGATACTGTTCCGAAATATCACTTACTCGAACCGTCCTGACCGCGTAGCTCAGTTGGAAGAGCATTGGGCTAGTATTCCAAAGGTCGTAGGTTCGAATCCCACCGTGGCCGGGCATATTTTTCAAGTTCGCCCGGTGTGGACATCCACTCAGAGTAACATCACAAACATATTATTCACCTGAGTACACAACACCAGCACAAAAAATTCATATTACAAGAACACATTGGTATTGAAGGAACTAGATACTGTTCCGAAATATCACTTACTCGAACCGTCCTGACCGCGTAGCTCAGTTGGAAGAGCATTGGGCTAGTATTCCAAAGGTCGTAGGTTCGAATCCCACCGTGGCCGGGCATATTTTTCAAGCTCGCCCGGTGTGGATATGCACTCAGAGTAACATCACAAACATATTATTCACCTGAGTACACAACACCAGCACAAAAAAATTCATATTACAAGAACACATTGGTATTGAAGGAACTAGATAGTGTTCCGAAATATCACTTACTCGAACCGTCCTGACCGCGTAGCTCAGTTGGAAGAGCATTGGGCTAGTATTCCAAAGGTCGTAGGTTCGAATCCCACCGTGGCCGGGCATATTTTTCAAGCTCGCCCGGTGTGGATATACACTCAGAGCAACATCACAAACATAATATATAAAATTATTGGAAAATCTATTATACAATTTCGTAAATTTTCTCTCTTACTTCATTATGTTTCAATTTCATTATATATGTCTGTAACTTAATTTCAATTTCATTATAAGTAGTGAAGCCCCCCACTCTGGCGGAATTTATAACGAGCTTGCAAAATCTATGACGTCACTTTGTCCAGCTAACAATCTGGCGGAATTTATAATGAGCTTGCAAAATCTATAACGCCAGGTCGCGCGACCAATTAACGCGGTCAAGCCTGGGCCAAATGTGGCAGGCAACGCGATCAATTAGCATCACAATACAGTAACATCGCTATAAATACAGCTAGTGTCCTTTCACCTGCATAGTCTGTATTCAACACTCACGATGGAATGTTTTCACGGTAAACCAGCAGCAAGTTCTACAACTACTCGTGGTACGTTTTGATTTTGTGGCGTAACACCGAGCTGCGAGTTCTTTTGCCATGACGAAGACTGTTATCTGTTTACGAGAGCGATGGAAGCCTGTCAGAATAGTGGTTCCAATCATCCCATTTGCCCAACACATCAGAGATTGGCCAAATTACGTGTTGTAAAAGATAAATTGAAAGATAATTATGGAAGACCCTTCTTCACGTGTTCTGATCGACATGATCCTTGCAACTTTTGGCAATGGGGAGACATTTACGAAAGCTCTCGACCACGCTGCAAGCACGGGATGGTATGCACCGTACGTAAAGTGAAAAAAGAAGGACCCACCCAGAACCGCCTGTTTTACTGTTGCCCTCAGATAGACAGCTGTAGATTTTTCGAATGGAAAGAGATCGAACCTCGTGTGGCCAAGACTGGCTTCGTCCTATTCAGTGCCCCCGCTAGAATATCGATACAAGAATGAAGACACGGGAGAAACATTCACTAGTACTAACATTAATGCTAAGGAAGCGTATGAAGAATTCCTTAAGAAATATGAATAACTGTAATAAAACGAAATAAATTGTCTTTATCATCATGAATGTGTTCTGTATGTTATTGAGATAAATCACTTACATTTCTCATTTGGGTTTTAACCTCTATGGGGAGAGGTTCTCTGGTGAGATGAATAATATAAATGTAATTTTTGACGAGTTGAGACAAAATGAAATCGATATTGATAAGCAGACTTTATCGTTTCATATAAATGCAATTCTCGACCACCATCGAGATCTATATCATGCAGTGAATGCTCCTGGTCTAAACCTTGACCAAGTCTATAGAGAAATAAATATGACATACTTTGGTCGCATTTTTGCTTATTTACCGTTAGTTTGTGTGCAAAGTGACAGCAAGGAAAGCGTTCGAGAACATGTCCGAAAAACTGTTGAGGCCTTTCGAACTTTTCATATCCCAAAGGCGAAAAGGAATAATAAACCACAAATTTTAATAGCGCTCTCACTTACACTAATAGCTTTATATGTTAGTCTATGATTGCTAACTGGTTCATTTCGTTCTAACCTCTGAGGTGAAAGGATGCCCTGTTGTGGTAAAAGTCTTCCAGAAATTTCCCTTCGAGATATCTTTCGGAAAGTGCGTTGTATTTCCGCTTGCTGTGGAGGGACAATTGTAATTCAAGCCTCAGACATTGATGGCAGAAAAGTACCTGAGCCAAATCTATTACAATCCGGAAAGTCCCGCAAGTTTTGGTGGCGTAGATTCAATTTACCGTGTTGTAAAAGACGAAGGCAAACATCAGATATCGCGGAATAAAATTCGACTATGGCTACAAAAGCAAGACACATGTACTTTACATAAACCTGTAGGATATCTTTGCAAACGGAACCGTGTCATTGTAGGCGCAATTGACGAGCAATGGGAGGCGGATCTTGTGAGTACATTTTAACTGTAATCGATGTACTTAGCAAATATGCGTGGGCTGAACCGATAAAAACAAAGACTGGAGAAAATCTTGTTAAAGCCTTTGAGAAAATACTTAAAAAAGGTCGAAAGCCTGAAACGTTTCACACCGACAAAGGGACAGAGTTTATGAATCGAAAGTTTCAAGCCTTTTTGAAGAAACATAACATCCGGTTTTTCACGATGCAAAACGAGACCAAGGCATCGATTGTCGAAAGGTTTAATCGTACGCTCAAAACCAAAATGTGGAAATACTTTACAGCGAAGAACACGCTCAAGTACGTGGACATTCTCCAGAAACTGGTAAAATGTATAATCATTTGAGACATCGTAGTATTGGTATGAGGCCTGTTGATGTAAATGAAGACAACGAGAGCATTGTGTGGCAAAAACTTTATGGAGAACAGTCAGAGAAACCCGTTCGGTTCAAGTTTAACATTGGCGACCAAGTACGAATCAGCAATGCAAGGCGCACATTTAAGAAAGGATACTTACCTAATTCGACCGAAGAAGTGTTTACAATAACCAAACGTGTTCTTCGACGACCACCCGTGTACAAGATCGCTGATTTTGATGATGAAGAATTGAAAGGAACATTTTACGAACAAGAGCTTCAAAGAGTGAATAAAACAGACAGTGATTTTAGAGTCGAAGAAGTACTTAGATCACGCATGCGTAATAAACGTAAAGAATATTTTGTAAAATGGATGGGCTACCCCGATAAATTTAATTCTTTGGTACCAGCAGAGAGTGTAAAAAATATTAAATAAATGTATTTGAAACACATAACTTGTGTTCATTTGTGTGTTGGTCTTCAATATGGCAACACAGTTTTATCTCACGTTACCGAGTAATAGTTCGTTAGCTTATTTTCCAAATAACACGGTAGCGAATTTTAGAGTAAAATTGGCTGAAACCATTGTATTGCCAGGACAATGGGAAGTCGCATTGACGGAACCGCATTACCCACATACGTGGAGCACGCTAAAACGTGGAGTGCAACAAACGTTTTTGTATAAAATTGGCAGTAACCCTTATCAAACTGTCGTGCTTAAAGAAACACAATATTCTTCTATTGATCAACTAACAAAAGCACTCAATGCCGGCATGTCAAAAGAAATACAGACGAAAGTAAAGTTTAGTTATAATCACAGTTCTCGCAAAATTTTGGTTGACGTAAAACACGGCCCAACTGTGTGGTTTACCGGAGAATTAGCAACGGTCTTGGGATTTGACCAGGACAGTCTTATTGAAAAGAAAACTTCGAGTCTCTATGCTGCAGATATCAATGGCGGATTCTCCCCCATGTATGTTTACACGGATATCGTTGATGCACAGTTTGTGGGCGATGTGAAAGTGCCTTTACTACGAATCGTTAATGTCGAAGGGGAATATGGAAACATCGTTCACGCCAGTTTTCGTAATTTGCAATACGTACCGGTCAAAGTAAATTCTTTTGAGACCATTGAAGTCAATATAAAGAATGACCAAAACGAAAACGTCTCATTTGAGTTCGGGAAGTCAATCGCAACACTTCACTTTAGACAGAAGAGATCTCAGTATTTTATCTAAAAATGCGCGGACGACTAGTTGTGGATGCTAAACTATTGAAAGACCATTTATTGAGACAGCAACGTGGTGGGAATATCGCCGGGTTTCGTGGTGCACGTATGCAAAGGGGATATGGGATCGGAAGTATTTTCACGAGCTTTGCGAGATATGCTATTCCTCTGTTCAAACAAGGTGCTAAAGTTGTTGGAAAAAGAGCATTACAAGCAGCCACAGAAGTTGGTCAAGACGTAATCGAAGGGAAAAATGTAAAAGAAGCTTTTAAGTCACGAGGAAAACAAGCAGCATCTGATGTTGCAAAAAAACGTTGCCAGGAAAGTAATGACCGGAAAGGGTCGCAAAAAGGGTATTTAAAAGAGCTGCGCCAGCTAAATCTCCCATTCGCGGTCCAGCCAAGAAGCAGACAACATCTCTCGATAACTATAGTCCAAAGTGGCATGGCTCTTGAAACAATGCATAAAGACTCCTGTATGTGCTCAAAATCTGAACTCGATTTATTTTCTATTCCACCGACTCAAGTGGTAATGGAAAAAGGATTTTGGGAAGATGTTGATCCTATTACGAGTATATCTTCATCAGATACGATAGAATTTTTATGTGCTGCAAATTCTGCAGTTTACACTGACTTAGCAAGCAGTTACCTATACGTTAAAACAAAGATCTCTACCGCAACCGGAGGTAATGTGGGTGCAGACATTCAAGTTGGCCCTTCAAACCTTTGGATGCATGCATTGTTCTCACAAGTTGAAGTATTTCTGAACAATAAACTGGTCACCCCATCAAGCACAGCATACCCTTACCGAGCGTATATCGAAACGATCCTGAACTTTAGTAAAGACGCCAAAGATTCACATTTCACCTCAGCACTATTCTATAAAGATAAAGCTGGAAAGATGGATGCAGTCAACCCTCTCGCACAAGATGCCAACGTCAACACTGGATTAAAACAGCGCCATGCATATACACATGAAAGTAAATCTGTCGCCATGGAAGGAAGAATTCATTCTGATCTATTCGCGCAAGACCGTTATATTCTTGGTGCTGTTCCAATCAAGATCAAACTGGTGAGATCTAGAAATCCGTTTTGTTTGGTATCATCCGCAGAAAATACCAATTTCAAAGTGGTCATCGAAGAATGCTTGTTTCGTGTACGACGAGTTAACGTAGCCCCCAGTATTATACTGGCTCATTCCCAGTCCCCTCAACAAACCACTGCCAAATACCCAATCAATCGCATCGACTGTAAGGTCGTCTCCGTACCTCGGGGGAACATGTCTGGAAATCAACCTAATATATTTCAAGGTGGTTTACCAAATCGTATCGTGATTGGAATGGTCGACGCAGATGCCTTCAACGGTACATATACGAAGAATCCGTTCAGTTTCAAAAATTACGATATCACAACCATGGGTCTCACTGTTAACGGAGCGAACTTACCTGGAAAACCATTACAATTGAAATTTGGAGCAGATAGTAAGTACATTTCTGCATTTTAAACCCTGTACGCCGGCGCACACAAGATTTTTGATAATCAGGGTAATGGTATAACGCGTGAAGAATATGCAAACGGCTATACACTGTTTGTGTTTGACCTATGCATTGGTGATCATGTACAACCGATTAAGAACGGAAATGTGTCAATTGAATGTCGATTTGGAAACCTTTGGAGACAGCTATAAATATCGTGGTACTTGATGAATTTCAAAGTCTTATCGAAATTGATGCGAACCGGAACGGGCTGTGTGATTTCAACAACTGAAGATGAACTCGCTGCAGATTATGAACATTCTCAAGAATGATCCATTTACAAAAACGGTGTTTACGGACGTTTACCTCGCGAAATAAGAAAGAGGCCTAGAGGGTATATACTTAACACGGATGCATCCGATATGCCCGGATCACACTGGATTGCAATGTACCTTACAGAAGATGGCAAAGGGGATTTTGGGATTCGTATGGCCAGGCTCCTGGATTTTACAATCAGAACTTTACTCAATTTTTGGACAAACATTGCGTTACATTTACATGGAACAGAAGAATTTTGCAAGCCCCTTCATCAGACGTGTGTGGATAATATACATTATTCTTTGCTTTACATCGATGTAGACGTATTCCAATGTCAACCATTGCAAATATGTTTGCGGATAGCAAAGAATGGAATGATGAGCTTGTGCGTGACTTTATAGACAAGTGGTACAAACACTAGATTTAGTTTAAAAAACATTTATTGTAAAATATTCTCTTACAAGAAATAAATTATTTTAACCATTTATATGGACTACTAATATTGTCTCTGCGGTTACCTTTGGTTTTATATTCGCGAACAATTCCAAGACGGTTTTCGTTTCTCACAATACCTTCGGGTACATTTAAATGTCCGACAACTTTTGAAAACAATTCCCAGCCGTCGGGGTTGAAATTCTTCCTTTGACGTAGAGAATCATTCACCAAATCAACTATATTTGTGCTAGGAACTGGTCTTCCTTTGAACACCGTCTGGCCTTGTTCATTCCAACCAACAAGATCTTTATTTGACTTGAGTTTTTTGATGAGTTGTCGAGCTCTTGACTTCATAGTGGCTGGTACACTATCCATGATATCTGTTTCAATCTCGTCGGAAGTTTCCGTCTCTTCACTGGGCTGTTCTCCTTGAGGGTCTTCAGCTTTATCGGTGTGCGTCACGTTTACTCGGAGAGGTTTATTCATTCGTTTATCATAAAAGGTTAAATAGCGTTGCAGATTCTGGCTACGCCACTGCTTTTCACAAAGGTGGTTTTGCCTGATTTTGTACCGCCAGAAACGAGAAGCCCAAACGGGTGTCTTAACTGTATGGAGTACATGATCAAAATGAAAGCAGATGCTTTTCGATCAGTCTATTTATCTTTTGCAACTCGATCAATACCGTTGCTCTATCAATAGGCATTTTCTTAGCACGAATAAGATATGGTTGTCTCTCTTGAGTAGATAGTTTATGAACATTGGTTAAATGATTAGATAATTTTAATAAACCTTTCTTTCCGCACATGGGACAGACCTTACGCGTTCGAGGCATGTTATCAAATGAATGTTTCCGAGCATACCACAACTTAAATAGTCCCTTTGGAGACTAATTTTTGTCCCCGGCACAGAAGAATGTCCCCATGGGGCCGTAATTACCAACATTAGTCCCTATTATAGCCGATTGTCCCTTTAGAAAGTCCCTCCGGGGACTAATTTTTGTCCCCGGATGTCCCCGGTATAGAAGAATTTCCCCATGGGGAAAAAAATTACACGCATTAGTACCTATTATAGCCGATTGTCCCTCTACAGATAGTCCCTCCAGGGACTAATTTTTGTCCCCGGATGTCCCCGACACAGAAGAATGTCCCCATGGGGCCATGATTACCAACATTAGGCCCTATTATAGCCGATTGTCCCTCTACATATAGTCCCTTTGGGGACTAATTTTTGTCCCCGGATGTCCCCGGCACAGACGAATGTCCCCATGGAAACATAATTACCAATATTAGTCCCTAATATAGACGAATGTTCCGCAAAGAAAAAAATCCCCAAAAGTCCCCGCAGCTGTACGATTACACACATAACTTTTATGTTTGAAATAATTTATTAATGTAAAAACCAAAAGGCAATGTATCAAAATTATTTACAATCACCCGTTTATTATATACAATACGATAGTCCTTGTTCGCACTCCTCGTCTTTACACTTTTCTCTTTAGTGTCTCTATTTATTTTGTATGGTATATTTACAGTTATGCTATCTGTGAGATCAGGCAACGCTTCTAAACAAACCATATCACACATTAAATTAAAATTAACCTTTTGTGCAGTTCTGTAGTTGAGGGTGATCCCTCTAACTTTGCATACTGTTTTGTCTGTGTTTGTCTCGTAGGCATAGTTTTTAGGACCTCCAGACATAAAGGTGGTAATGTAACCTCCATCTAACTCATCTGTTAATTGACCAAGATAGGATCCCGTCGGCGGCTCCCATTCGTCTTCCTTTGAAACATAAATTACTGAGTCTGTGTCAAAATACAAGACTCGGCGATTTAACTGCTCCAGGACACCATGCAGCTTGAGGCAGGCGTGGGCTGTGGTGAACGCTGCGATGACCACATTTGTCTTTCCATCGGCTTCCACGAATTCGTCAACGTTTTCAAAATGGACTTCGATGAGCTTGTCTTTGATGAAATTCGCGTCGGTGACGTTAATCTGATCGCTGGAGAGGAGGTCAAAATATTCAGCTGGATCCGATATGATTTTGACCTTAGTCATGTTGGGTAGTTGCGCAAACTTTCCTACAAGAAATGATAGGTTTTTAACAAACACTTGTTTTTTCCCTACGAAAAGCAAGTACAATTAGTGGACAATTTGCCATTACACTTACCCCAAAAAGAGTTCAACATGAGCTTCGCTAACGCCCTCAGACCAGGATTCTTCACAATCTGTCTTGGATCCAGCTGAATACCTTCTTTTGCGGCGTAGTCAGCGATGTACTGCCCCTTCTTTTCGTCGGTGTCACATTCCGGTGGAAAGCCACTCGCCTGCAAAAGAGAAAGGATTAATAAGAAGCTAATGATGTGACAATATCACACATATGATGAAGCCTTACCTCTTGCTTGATTTTGAGGAACTTATCAATATAGTCCTTAAACAGTCCATCCGTGTGCTCGGGGAAGTGCCAAACTTCGTCGATTCTCACCAGTTTGTAGCCTTTCTCTAGTGCTTTCCCGAGCTCCAAAGTCACCCAAGTCCCATGAAGTGTTCGCTCGGCGTCGCTGTGATGACAGGGCTCTTGTTGAAGGTTGTCGGCACAGGTACGACACAACGGGAACATCAATTTACCCTGAGTACGGTAAGGGAGGACGGGGTGGTATAGGGCACGAGGAGGAAGCACAGAACATTTCACCAACCCAAAGTAGTCACTGATAGGTTGAAAGTTTTCAGTAATAATCTCGGGATGGCCAATTGGATACTCGCCGTATTTGTTACACCTAAAAATTGCTTAAGAAGGTTAACGACAAGCACGTTTGAGTTAAAAGACTTTAACAAGATACATACCATGGGTAGAGGCTGCAGAAATCCACATAGCGGATCTTCTCTTCTGGCTGGACGTCGTAGTATAGGCGTGTTACGTTAGTCCTTCCACCAAAGAATGCATGACGAGTTCCAGAGGTTCAGAGATTTCGAAATTGTCGAAGAAATCCTTCATCTCGGGTTCGGTGGCAAGTTGATGCTCAATATCACACGTCCAAATCTCTACGACGCTGTATCCGTTGTCCTTTAGGAATTGGATATTCTCTAGGGTTCGCTGCTTAAGATCTTGCATGGTCATATGGTTGATCGGATTCACGGTATCTCTGGCATAACACCTTTCACATCCATGCCACAGACATCCTTGGACTTCCCAAACAGTGTTCGTCTCAACGTTGAAACCATCGACAAGGTATTTGTCAATGAGCCGCTCTCCGTGGTTCCGGGCGTGGCGAATGGCAATGTTATCACGTTCCGCAATCCAGGTCAGCATCTTCAAGGCGATGACAGACTGTTTGTTTTCAGGTTTGTATCCGCAAGGAGGAATGACGACGATGGTGTTCTCCTGGAGGAACGTTTTACGAAAGAAGAGATTACAAGCAGAGACAATGGTGAGACAAGAGGCGAAAGGGTTAACATCTGTGACTTGATGGAAAAGTTCGCGGAACTCGAGACAACAACGACGCAAAATGTCCACATCGGATTGACAGTATCGCAGAATTTCGGCTTGACGCTCGACTTGGTCGTTGTACCATGTATAAAACTTTTCGCGGTCATCCCTGCTCATGCCATCAGGATCGTAGAACTTGGCTTCAGGCATTGGCCTCATGTAGTCCTGGTTCTCAGCACGGTTAAAGAAATGAGGGAAGTAACCTTTCTGAAGCTCTGTGAGACCAAACGTTTTCGGGAAGGCGGCGAGTTTCATTGGGATGAAACAGAGAGAATCAATAAATCTGATGTTCATCTCGGGGACAGTCAGCGAAAGGATTTTTGCGCCACGGGTAATGATTTCTGGAGCGACACCATTCTTGTAAAGGTATTGTAGAATGAAGTACCCGTCGTAAGCCTGGAAATTATGCGCGAGCGCGACAAACGTCATATTCGCGTTTTCCTGCTGAAACATCCACTCGCAAAACTCGTCTTTAGTGTTTGGCCCAGAAAAGACTTTCTCGTCACCGCTTTCGTTTTGGACTACGCAGAGATTGGGGACGTGTTTACCGTCGTCTTGCGTGCACTCGAAGTCGAAGAACATCAAGTTTTTGGTGTCTTCTACGTCGTTTTCCACGGTCACATTATCATCGAGCAAATCGTTTCCTTCTTCAGGGGATCGTGTCTTCTTCGCCTTTACAGGTTGAAGATAACATTGGTGGTTTTCAGGCTTGACGTATTTTTGACAGGTGGAACATCTGACTTTGCCACAATGATGATCACGAAGACTGGCACGAGTAACAACACGTTTGCATTTCTTGCATTTAATTAAAACACGACACAGGGATTTGGCAGGACCGGCGTCATCTTTATGGCGGTTGAAGCATTCGTCACTTTTAAAGAAACGGTTACAGCCTTTGCAAAATATCCATTCAACGATGGGACAGTTTTGGGTTTGGCACAGTTTGCATAGATCGCCACAGGGATGGTCAGTAATCTTGTCGAATCCCTTCTTGCATTTATGGCAATACTGTTTACGGGCAAGGAAGGCAGGCATACTGGTGATCACGTCGTAATGATTGTCATGGTGGTACAAGTATAGGTGTTTTTCGGCTTCCGGACCTGAGTAGATGAGGGCATTCAAATGTTCCTTGGAGATCACGTTGATTTGATAATCAGGGAGAGTAGCTTGGAACTCCTTGATTTCTGGGATTCCACAGGAACCAAGAGGAACACCCGCTGATTCATGGAGTTCTTGAGCTAAACGACCTTGTACTTTTCCACGGTGATCCACAATACTCTTGTACTTTGGATCTTTGTCCAGCTTTGCTTTGGCCACTATGATTGCGCGGGCACAGCAGAGATCATCTTTGTTCTTAATTTGAACGATACAGTCCTTCTTTCTGAGAAAACTTTGGAGGTTTACAATATCACGTCGTTTTCTACCTGCACCGTTGGGCATTTCGACATGGACCACGTTGACGCTGACAGAGTCGTCCAAAGTAAATTGATCATTGGACTGTAGACGCGTTCGACGGCAGCCAGGAAACGTTCTGGGGTTAGACGATCGCGTTGTAGGAAAGGCAAGGAAATGGACTTGCCCAGCTGATGCGAGTTGAGGATCAAGCGAACTTGATCGTGAGGAGCCATATCAGTCGTGAGTCGGTCAAATAAGTGCTGAAATGCGCGGTTCAACGTCGACATGACGTTTGACACCCCGTGCACGTCCAACGGGTTGAATTGGACAGTGTAGTCTGTACCTAAAAACCGTAGTACATTATTGTACTAACCCAGTACTCAGATAACCAAGTACTAAGTATTCAGACTAACCAAGTACTCAGAGCAATCAGAAAGACTCGAAATTTCATGAAAATGGCTTTAAATAGCTATCACTAATTGAGCATACAATAATCATATAGATTACTGTAACATTATTACCCAGCAATATAGAACAATTTGCCAGAAAAGGATACCTAAAAAAAGCCGAGGGCCGGTTGTACGAACATCTGTATTTTTCGGATAGTACTATACTTGAAAAATTTAGCTACAATTACAATCATAAGCCTTGTAAATACTAAAGCTTCATTTGAGAGTTATGGCCATTTATAAAAAGTTTATGCGTTGGATAGGTTTATACGGCCATTTAAATATGTACACACAAGCAATAAACACAACTCTTATGAGGCCCTGTTTACACTATACCGGATTCGCTGGTCACTACATCTTCTTTGTCGTTACGGAGCAATGGCTATAATAGCAGATGCTTATTAGTTTGACAGAATTGGCATGTTTATTTGGGTCTCTGAGATTAAAAATCTTCACAGCCTTTCGGTACCTACAAAATTTGTCCCACTCCGATAGCAATATCGAAAATACATATTCTAAAACAACTTTATCCAGCCTTTGATCTGAAACTATCGTAAACGTATATTCAAAACAAATACACAAACTTACCGAATGAGCCATTTTAAAAACAATCCAACGCAATCCAAAAGCAGAGAACACTTGAGAACCAGACAACACTTGAGAACCCGAGAAAACCAGAGACCACTTGTCAAAACGCAACAGTGAGAAATGAAATGTGTTTTCGAAACACGATATTTATAATATCTGATAATTTGTTTGGTCGCACTACTGTGCTGTGCCGCTAATTGATCGCGTTACTGTATTGTAATGCTAATTGATCGCCTGTCACGTTTGGCCCAGGCTTGCCCGGTTAATTGGTCGCGCTACCTGTCACAGTTGGCCCAGGCTTGACCGCGTTAATTGGTCGCGCTACCTGGCGTTATAGATTTTGCAAGCTCATTATAAATTCCGCTAGATTGTTAGCTGGACCGTGGCTGGACAAAGTGACGTCATAGATTTTGCAAGCTCATTATAAATTCCGCCAGAGTGGGGGGCTTCACTACTATTATACAGGGTGTATCAAAAACAGCGCAATCCTCGACTGAAATGTAAATTGCTAAACAAATAATAGACGAAATACATTCATTTTAAAGCGTAGCCATTCAGCTTTCTAACAGTGGGTTGTTTCTTAAATTTGACTCATTGGTTCGCGGGTAATAATACTTTACGTTATTGCGATTGGAGATTAAAAAAATTGAGATGGAATAACAATTCATTCTCATGAAAATAACTGATTTTTTCACTAAAACAAAAAAATGTTGCATTTTATTAAATGGATTGTAACAATAAGTATAATTATAGCTTTTCTTCCACTATTTTTAACTCAGTTTGAAACTTCAAATGCGATATAATTTTGGCTTGGACCATCTAAGCTGACTGACATCAACTTGCTATAATTTTTGTTTACATTACATTACATCGCAATTCGATGACACTCTGGCTCAGACACCAGAATGTTTTGATGATTTTTAGCATTCGTTTAGGATTTTCAAACAACCTAGTCTCTTTTAAAAAACTTTTAATTTGTTCTTACGTGGTTTTCCAGATGTAGTGACGACAACATTAAAGTTTAAAGAAGAATATTCTAACATTTAAACCGACTAAACAATAACATAGTAAACTTGCATAATTAAACAGCAACTAAAAATGATAGGTTTTACTGAATCTTTTCCTGTGCAATTATTACTAGCATTGGAGACAAGGATAATAGTTTGTTTGAAAGAGAAAAGAACAGGCTTTGAAGTAAGCCTAAAAGCGTTTAACTAGAAATAGTATTTCGAAAGTTATTATGCATAAAAGATGAATTGCGTTTATTTTGATACACCCTGTATATGTCTGTAACTGAAACTATATTATACAGGGTGTATAAAAAAAGGAGACCTTTAGAAATCAACCATATTGTTAAAATTTGAATGCCTTTTCTATTGCACGTATGCTGAACCGTAGTGCGTGAAATATTGATGGGGTGCATATATTAGAAAAAGGAGACCTTTAGAAATTGAAATAACGTTTAAACAAAAGACTATCTGCTCCTGGGAACAATCAGCCATGCATACTATACGTAGATCGCATTTACGCACTCGTGGGCTTAGGAAAGTGCTCGAGGATTCAAATTATAACAATGGTTGATTTCTAAAGGCCTCCTTTTTCTAATATATGCACTCCATCAATATTTCACGCACCACCGTTCAGCATACAGTATGTGCAATTGAAAAGGCATTCAAACTTTAACAATATGCTTGATTTCTAATGGTCTCCTTTTTTATATACACCCTGTATACTAATCAATTAAATATGTAACTTTGAATGGCCTCTTTACACAAGCTCTAAGCTTCCTCAGGTCTCCTCGCCGACTTTATTTTATTATAATATCTTGTAAATAGCTACCAGTTTTTTTTTGGCAAATAAACCAATAACTAAGTTCTTTGTATGATTGCATGGCGATAAAATATATAATAGTTTTGTTTGTGGAAACAACACGTAAATTTATTACTGCAAAGCTTTCGATCCGTAAGCCCGGATCTTCATCAGTGATGAAGATCCTTTTGCGCTGGCTATAAAAACGACGAACGAACAAAATATCCAAACTTACCTCGGATCTTCCTCACATATTATTAGCACTGATGAAGATCCGGGCTTACGGATCGAAAGCTTTGCAGCAATAAATTTACGTGATGTTTCCACAAACAAAACTATTATAAACCAATAACTAACTAACTACTTTATCATTTATTTCAGTACGACCTAATTTGTGATGACTCCATTCTTCTATCTATCGCTCAATCGTGTTTCTGGGTTGGAATGTTTGTTGCCTTGTTGGTTGGCGGTCTTATATCAGATAATTTTGGCAGAAAAATTGTTTGGTATTGTGGTTGTGTTCTTGTCATCCTTGCGTCTTGGATTATAATATTTCCAAAGGCCTTTGTTGTGTTTATTGTTTGTCGCATTTTCATTGGCGTCGGTTCAGGTAGGCTATATACCCACTCATCTGTAAATAAGACTGGATTGAGAATTTTTCAATTGGCATATATCCCCGCATCTCTTTTAATTAATGAGTTGGGGATCGTTTTATAAGCACTGGCCAAAAAGAGAAGGATTGATGTCCAATTGCTATCCAGACTGTGTATTCTCTTTTCCATTATTTACCACAATCTGTGAAAACTTTCCCCAACAACTGCAACCAACCGAAGATTCATCTGTAGATCTCTGGTAAAATTACCACAATTGGCTTTATTAATTGATGCATAATATATGAACTATCTAATATACCAGTCTAGTTTTCATGCTTACAGTGATTTACACTTTCCACAGGGTTTCGAAATTGCTCTGGTTATCCACTTCTTACGGAAATCACAACTGAAAAATATCGCTCAAGAATCGGGACAGGGGGTATCATATTTTGGTCTGTGGGATTATCGATAGTGCCTCTGATTGGATACTTAGTTCCTGCGTGGAGAATGTTCTTGCTTGTGACAGCTACTGTCGGAATTCCTGTTCTCTTTTTCTGGTGGTAAGTTTGGATATTTTGTTCGTTCGTCGATTTTTATAGCCAGCGCCTATAGGCTACACACTTAAGGACCTATAGGCTACACAAAAATATCGAAATAACTGACATAACAAAAAATTAAGAAAGTTAATTTTAAAGGTTATATCTAACTTCGTCCCAGGGCCAATTGGTAATTATGGCCTATATTGTTATTTCCTATCGCCACGTTTTGAAAGTCTCCTTTTGTCCCGCAATAAAAAGAGTGGGAAGAATATGTTCAACTTTTCTAACTGACGACTGTGAGTCGCGGAATGGCAGATGTATCAGCCGCGGAAAGGTATTAAATACATTTCAAACACTCATTAATAATTCATAAGCTTATTGGCAAATCACGTCAACCATAATATGTCACGTGCAGTGGCTTTAAACCTGATAAAACACTCCTAATTAGTATTCTTTATTTAAAGAATACTAATAAGGCAGTATCTATTGTTGTCGTGTCTTCATTAGTATTTTTTATACTAGAAAATACATACATGCAGAAATCCTCCCCTTGCTGACAAAACCGTTGTATTTTCCGAACAGGAAGTATCTAGAGTAGTTGTCATGGTAACACGATAATTTTTTAAGAATATTCTTACAAATGAAAATCGCCTAAAAATATCACTTTTAATTACAAAATTATCAATTTCCCAACATATGTTAATAGGTATGTAATTATACGTAATACAAGCTTCAATTTAAGGTAAAATTCAACCACAAACAATTCACAAAACGTTTTAAAGTGTTCTTTATAAAACTAAACTGCCTTTAACTATTAAATGGCTTTATCGATAAACTTTGAGTTTGCAATAAAATGATTTCAAATTCTCGCTTGCAAATAACTTTGGTCTTTGCTTTATTTTTTATTTAAAAAATTCAATATAGTAAAAAAGGGAATCAACATTAAAGTTACACTGAAATTTATATATGCTGTCTTGTTTAGTTGTTTCATATACGCAAAGGCCGTCGGGTTTTAAAGCCATTATAAAATCAATATTTAAAACAAACTAATTACCTTCGTTAACGTCGGCTCCCTTCTTTTAGCTGATTCTTTCGCCCTTTCTTTCTTGAAATTTACAAAATCTTGCAGAAATACGAGCAAAAATGAAATATATTTGCAAGAAATTTATCAATCATCAAATCAAGAAATGTTTGCTATTTCGCTGTCGTAATGCAGTCGTTATAATGCAAACTATAAATTGGACCAATCAGTGTCCGTTATTCATGACAATCGGTCATATTTTTGAGATCAGTGAGGAGACATCATCATCCAAGATGGCGGAAGGTACTCAAAGCTCGGGCTCCGTGTCTATCACAAATTCTGATTGTAAAAACGACAAAATCGAAAAGAATATAGCAACATCAGCTTTTTTATTTAACAATGAAGGTAATTTCGCGTGGAAAGGCGATCTACCTACTCTAAAAGTCTTCGTAGACGGCATAATCAAGCATCTCAAATGTAAAGATGGAAAATGGTCGTCGCCTCGCGAGGAGGAAAAAATGTTCAAATGCGCCAAATTTACCGTGAAATGGTTTGGCAAGAAGAAAGAAAAATTGGTTATCATGAAAGATAACGAAGAAAATTCTCTACAAAGCACACTGGAGACATGTGCTCAAACGAAAGGCGTTGAAAATCAACAAGAAACGACAAAGCACGTGGCCGACGCCATTGAGTCACAACAACAAAACTCGCAACTAAGCAATACAAATCTCCCTGCTTCAGCTGTACCTCCTGTATGTGAAAATTGTTCGAATTATGAACACCAGATTGCGAACATATTGACATTGCTAGCTGAAATAAACACGAAACAGCAAAAAGATTCTCAGCAAAACATATCAGTATTAGCAAAATGTGAAAATACAATATCGGCCTTGTCGGAACAAAACATTAAAATGGCGGCCGAAATTGACTCATTAAAATCGACTGTCACTGAACTTAGTTGCGAAAATAAAAGCATAAAGTGTGTTCTCGACATGAAACAAAGTGAGTGGACAGAGGTCAAAGAAACGAAGTCAAAGAAAGAAACCAAAACGACGACATCTACCGGCACAGACACAAGAACATTAATAAGTAACCCCTATGCAGTGCTTGAAGTAGAAGACGTGCCTGACGTGGAAGAATTAATTACCAGCAAAGTCGGAAAAAGAAAGAGTGGTCAGACAAAAGATCCCTTAATCAGTTCTGATTCTTATAAAAGCACAAGTTCAAAATCAAAGGCTACAGCTGGCAGTGCACCAAATAAAGTCAGGAAGTCCAACCATGAGAAAACAGTCTTGGTGATAGGAGATTCCATGGTCAAGAATATTGATGCATGCAAAATTGGAAGAGCTGCTCGAAGTAAAGCTGTCTCACACTCATACAGTGGAGCCACAGTGAACCAGCTTACCGAGAAATTTGGAAACCACCAATCAGAGCAAGAGTTCAGCACCGTCATCATCCATGTTGGCACAAATGACCTGGTACGTGATGAACCCAAGAAGGTAGCAGCCAACCTGGAAAACCTCATCAACAAAGTCAAGGTCCACACCGAGAAAATTGCAGTTTCTGGTACAATCAAGCGGTATGATGGTAAGCTAAACAATAAAAAAATTGAGCAATATAATAATTTAGTACATGGTTTATGTTCTAAACATAAGATTACTTTTATTGATAATAGTTGCATAGACAAACCTTTATTAAACAGATCAAAACTACATTTAAATCGTGAAGGTGATAAAGCCCTAGGAGGTGCTTTCTGCACCTACTTGAAGTCTGATAGAATTGGAAACACCAACATGGCTTCAAGTCGTAATGACAGCCATTTTTTTCGCCAAAGTCATGGGCACCAGAAAGACTGGACAATGTATCTGGCCCATGTAAAGCAAGTGATGAAACAGAAAGCAGATTAGATATAACAAGGGGCAATGTGAGCAGCGATTTTATGAGAACCCTTAGCTCAATCCCGAATGAAAGAGGTTTTAAAATGGCTTTTCTGAATATTGTTAGTTTACCTAAAAAAATAGATGAAATTAATTTTTCAATGTCAAAAAAGTTCATTGATCTGATTGCATTTAATGAGACACGACTTGATGCGAATATAACAGATAATATGATTAACCTTGATGGTTATGATATTGTCAGAAAAGATAGATCAAGGAATGGTGGTGGAGTTTGTATTTACTTGCGTAGCTCCATCAATTACAAAATAAGAGATGATCTAGTTCCTTCTGAACTGGAAGCTGTTTGTGTTGAAATTATTAAACCACATAGCAAACCTTTTGTTGTTACGACAGTTTACCGACCACCCAGTGCATTATCAGAATTCTTTGATCATTTTGAAAAACTGATCAAAGCTATAGATAATGAAAATAAGGAAATGTATATTCTGGGTGATCTAAACTGTGATTTGCTAAGACCAGATAAAGATTATAACATACCAACAAAGAAAATAAAGTCTTTGTATGAATTATATCAGTTATCACAACTGATAGATGAAGCTACTCGAGTAACTATGACAACTACTAGTCTAATTGATCATATGGTTACTAATACACCAGAAAAAATTTCTGATTCTGGTGTCATTCACACAGGTATAAGTGATCATAGTTTGATATTTGCTATCAGGAAAATTTCTGTTATAAAGAAACAAGAGAATATAGTTGAGATGAGAAACATGAAAAATTTTAATGAAGAAAAATTTGTTGCGGAACTGCTCAAACAGCACTGGGAACAAGTGTATTTTTTTGCTGAAGACCCAAATGATATGTGGGAGATTTGGAAAAAAATATTCGTAGACGTCCTAGATAAGCATGCACCACTTCAATGCAAAAAAATCAGGTCTAAAAAAGTCCCATGGATTACAAGTGATATAAAGAAACTTATTAATACAAGGGACAAATTAAAAAGAAAAGCCATTTCAACAAACCTAGAAAATGATTGGTTTGATTATAAAACGTCTAGAAACAAAGTAAACATAGAACTAAGGAATGCCAAAAAAGATTACTATTCCTCAAAAATAGCTGGTCAAAAATTCAATCCTAAAAAAGCTTGGAAAAGTATAAACAACTTATTAGGTAGGCAAAACAAACCAACAGTGGTGAATGAGATTAATCTAGGGGGAAAAATTTTTACAACTCCCAAAGATATTGCAGAGGGCTTTAATGATTACTTTTCAAATATTGGGCCTGATTTAGCTAGCAAAATTGATACTTCAAATTATAATTTTGAAACATATACTAAAACTGCTGAATCAGAATTTGCAGCATTCCAGCCTGTTACTGTCAGTCATGTCTGTCGTCTCTTGCATGGGCTTTCCAGCAATAAAGCCACTGGCATTGATAAAATTTCTTGTAAAATTATTAAGATAGCTGCACCAGCTATTTCAGACTCATTGACGTTTATTTTCAATCAGGCTATAACTCTATCCTCCTTTCCTAATGAATGGAAAATGGCAAGAGTAATACCTTTGTATAAAAATGGCCAACGGAATATTCCAGGAAACTATAGACCAATATCAGTTTTACCTGCGATTAGCAAAATTATGGAGCGAATTATGTATGATCAACTGTATAAATATTTAACAAAATTTGAACTCCTTAGCGATTCTCAATTCGGTTTTCGAAAATCTCATTCTACAGCAACTGCATTACTGGACTGTACCAATGATTGGTATATGAATCTAGACAGAAAAATGTTTAACCTAGTAGTCCTAATTGATCTAAAAAAAGCATTTGATACTGTTGATCATCAAATTCTATTGAGGAAGTTAGAACTTTATGGAATAAAAGGAGAAGTTCTAACTTTGCTCAAATCTTATCTCACAAACAGAAACCAGAAGTGCCAAATTAAGAATTCCTTTTCTACAGAGCGATTGATTAAATGCGGTGTACCACAAGGCTCTATCTTAGGACCACTATTCTTTCTGCTATATATAAATGATTTACCTCAGTGTCTAAACAAAACAAAACCTCGATTGTTTGCTGACGACACAAATCTGACAGCATCGGGAGATTCTATAATTCACCTTGAAACTGCAGTAAATTCTGATTTGGAAAACCTCAGAAAATGGTTAATTGCCAATAAACTTAGTCTAAATGTAGCTAAGACAGAATTTATGTTAATTGGTTCAAACGCAATGATTAAAAGAAATTCTGATTCACATTTAAATGTTTTCATTGAAAATAAGCAAATTAAACAAGTTAGCGAATGCAAAACTCTTGGAGTAATAGTTGACCAGCATTTGTCTTGGAAAAGTAATTCCGAAAATATATGCAAAAAAATAACTGCAGGAATCTCTGCTATTCGCCGAGTCAAACCTTTCGTTGACAAAAATACACTCAATTCGATATATAATGCTATTGTCCGCCCATACTTTGATTACTGTTGTGAAGTATGGGATGTGTTTGGTGAATCACAATCAAAACGACTCCAAAAACTTCAAAATAGAGCTGCTAGAATTATCTTGAACATGAGTAATGACGTAAATCATTCCATTGCTCTACGTGCATTGGGCTGGGAGCCACTCAAAAACTGAAAGGAAGAAAGCTAAGGCAAAAATGATGTACAAAGTATTAAATAAAATGGGTCCTAAATCACTCACCAATCTTTTTTCATACAAATGTGAGAAAACAAACTACAACCTTCGTGACATTTCAAGTGGTCTTAGTTTACCAAAACCGCGTACTAACAACATGAAAAATAGTTTTATGTATGACGGAGCACACCTTTGGAATTCTATTCCAAAGGAAATTAGGGAAAGCAAAACTCTTTCATCCTTTAGAAATAAAATTGCTGCTCACAAAATTGACATAGAGTAAATTGATGTAACTGTAAATATTCTAATAACCTTCTTATCATATAAATAATTTAATATTCTACCTTTTTAAACTTAAGTATTTTAATATCTCCATGTAACATTTTTCTATTTTTGCACACGCCCCCCGTGGAAATCAGCTTCGGTTGACGGGGTCAGCGTGTATAAATAAAGTTTCTATCTATCTATCTATGACCGACGCCCGCGCTCATTGATGAACTTTAGACTTCGCTAATGCTTTCGTTTCTCCGGGTGTAAATAACCGGGGGGAATTAGTACGTTTTGGGAAGTATTTCAACTGATGCGGTCTTTAGAAGTCCGGAACGCCTTATTCTTTAAATGTAATTCAGTAATAGCGGAAATCCGCTCTCATTGTTTTTGCACAGCGCGTGACGTAAACAATATCGTGATCCTAATTTACCAAAGCAAAGGATTTAATGTCAGTCATGGCGAGCGGTCATGTCTTTGTGAGCTCCTTGAATGTTCTTGTTATTTCTCTATTGATGCTCTGCACTGAATGTTGTGCACATGAAAACGTAACAGGGCAAGAAACGCTTGTATGTGTGAGAAGTCTACAAGTGTGTGATCTTAACGAGAATAAAGAAAATTTGGCTGGCCATTCGAACGCTGGTATGTGCCATGTTGGAGACTGTGAACCGGATTGTATTATCTCCTGCAGAGATTCATCGCATGTGGAACAGGGAATCGCTTTTTCTGCTGTGTCTGATGTGGTTGTTGAGATAATAACTTTGAACTGTCCGAAAGAAACAGCGTTTTCAAGATTAAGAAATCTCGAGATTTGTGTTTATTTGTCTGGTTTTGGTTTCGTTCGCTTCAGTGAACGTTCTCTGATTTGCATACGTCTGCACACTTTTCCTCACTGGGATTACACGCATAAGCGCTATTTGAGACGGAGGCTTAATTATTCATCAAACAACGTAGCAACTTTTAATCCATCTATTGTTTCATTGATTTTGCTTCGATGTGGCGATGTTGAAACACAACCGGGTCCTGTCAGAGAACAAACGTCTACAGAGTCTGGATGTTATTCTCGCAAAAACGAAAGGAAAATAAAAGTTGGACATTTAAATGTACGATCGTTAAAAAATCGTATACACCACACTCTTGTCAAGGAAACTGTGCTCTTACATAAATTCGACATTTTTACGATTTCTGAGTCTTGGCTGGATAATACTGTATCGGATACTGAACTTGATATTCTCGGCTATGCCCTTTATAGACAAGATCGCCAAATTTCTAAAGGCGGCGGTGTTTGTGTCTTTGTAAAGAACAACATAAAAGTATCACTGTTACCTGACATCTCGGCCATTAATAATGGATTTCAACAACTTTGGTTACAGGTGCAATTAAACAAATGCAAATCGCTGGTTTTGTGTGTTGCATATAGGCCACCAAACTCGCTTCCATCTCTGCTTACTGATTATTTTATGCCTAATGTAATCTTAGCAATGTCCAAATGCAAAGATTTGATTGTCCTGGGTGATCTAAACTGCGACATGTTACAGGAATCCAAACGCGAATCGCGTGTATTACTTGAAGTTTGCTCAAATCTAAACTTGCATCAGATCATAACTGTGCCTACACGGATAACTGACAACACGCAGACGTTGATAGATGTAATTATTACTTCAAACCGAAACTTAATATCGTCTAGCGATGTGTTGCTCTCATCCATTAGTGACCACAGTTTACCATATGCTGTACTAAACTTGAAGAGTCCCAGGTGTAAACCTACCTATGTGACAGTACGCAGTTTTAAAACCTACTCCAAGGAATTGTTCGTGAATGATCTCTCACTTGTACCATGGCACATAGTTGATACTTTCGACGATGTAAATGACAAACTTGACGTTTTTAACAAATTGTTCATGGATATGTTGGACGTTCATGCTCCTGTTAAGCGTATTAAATTAAAATCAAGACCTAACCCGTTTGTAACATCTGAAATTCGGGCCCTAATGAAAACTAGGGATACGTGGCATCGGAAAGCGGTAAGGTCCAATGATAACCGTGATTGGAATGGTTACAGATTCTTCAGGCAGGAAGTGAAGAAAGAATTAAGAGCTGCAGAGAAAGAATATGTACGTAGCGAGTTGACTTTAAATTCGGGAAACTCGAGATCATTATGGAAAACAATTAACAAATGTTTACCTCGTAAATCATGTTCTTCTACACACGAGTTAAACTCTGTAAAGTTGGCGAACACATTTAACGAATATTTTACCTCCCTTGGAAGTTCCATTGCTGCTGAAACTTGTGGGATTGCGACCGATTTTAACTTGGAAGCAACTTGTCCACAACGCTCTACAACCCCTCCGGAAACGCAGTTTTGTTTTCGTGAAGTCTCCGAAACAGAAGTCGCAAATGTGGTATCAAACTTACCTGCCAATAAAGCTGCTGGTCCTGACAAATTACCAGCTAGAGTGATAAAAGATGGCCTGTCTGTTATTCTGTCTACGATAACC